ATTAGGCGTTCACGCGCGTGACCGAGAGTCCTGAGTTCAAGATCATGTAAGCGCACTGCTGAGGATTCTCATACCAGGGTTCCTATAGTGGTCTATCTTTAATCGAATCATGAATTCAACTATTAAAAATACTATAATATCCACAAACCCCAATTCCGGAAATATTAAATAATCGTTAAATTACTACTAATTATACGGGGTTTGTGAAGGTTGCTGGATGTTCTAGTTTACATCACGGACTATTCTTAATTGAATAACTTGTGAAAATAAGCAAGGGCAGAACAGATATTTCATCTTAGTGTCGAACTTTTCAGAAGTGAGCATTCAGTATTTTATAGAGGATCTAACCTAGGACCTTCAATCATCGAGATAAGAGCTTAACTTTTAGACAATTCAGCCTGGATCCAATAGCTTAAATATTCAAATTTAATCTGTTCTATATATATTGATCAACCTTCTTCCAACACGATTGGTGGGTGATGTGTGGCTTTTCTGCAACAAATTGCATGAAATACTCCAAAAAGTGGAATAATTTCAAAAATGAATGAAATTCCTCATTATAAAGTATGGAAAAATTTAAACAAATTAGTTGACTTCCAGTTACTTGCATTTTAAACTACAAATCTAACTGAAGAAATCAGTCAAAGATTCTTAATTTGATCTCAGAACTTTCCACTTTGTTATTCCTAAACATTAGTGAAAAACAACACTTACTTATTTCTTTCCATTGATTCACTCATTCTATATCAATTAATTACTAATTAAAAATTACCTTTCATAATCCGAAAAATAAAATTTAGACTTAAACTTAGTTCAAGATTTTAAGGGATTTTCAGAAAAACGTTTTGGAATCATTCTGTCATTTCCTATTGAGACTGATGATTTGTTTTTAGTTTATCGGTCATATTTGATTTGCTCTCGGTTTTCTTTACAATGGAACCATAATTTATGGACGAAGCAATCGGATTTAAAAGTTAATCTGATAATCAATTTCAGTCTTAAACATCAATGGGAAGACTCAAACAACAAAAACAAAAATGGATCAAAATATATTTGGATTTTAGTATAAAATTCATTCATTTATATGGTTGAATAGCATTTTGGTATTATAGCTTATATCATTTCATAGTTGAAAGCGTGAGTCGGTTTAAGCTAGGCCACCAGGGAAAACCTGCAAGCACTGGACGGCTGTTTCGTCCTATTGTGGAACTCCTCAGTAGTACGCACCCACGACATCGACTCGTGAGATTTGAACCCAGGACCTTTCAGTATAAATTCCCACAAAATCCCCTTCTGAAAATTATATCATTTCGTTATAAAAACTAATTCTAACTCTTAATATTAACTTCTAACTCTAACATGTAATTCTAATTCTCACACTAATTTATCAATCCATTTTAACACTGGAAATTTTGTTGAACCCTCTCAAGGTCACTTTTGTATGGCTCGAAGTTCATTGATCAATTGTAGTCTGACTATATTCACTCAACCAGCTAGTTAGTTTTTCTTTTGTTTGTCATTTTCAGTGTTATTTAGAGTTTACACTATGAAAATTGTTTTCATTATATAAGGAAAAAAAAATAAAGTAATTATTGTTAGAGAAATATGGTATCTATAATGAAATTTGAAAACTGGCTTTATAAGTCAGTTAGTTATCCCATCATTAACAATATAGGGAAGTACTTTTTTGTAGTCTACCTGATATTCAATAAATTTTGAAGTAATTTGATTAACTCACTACTTATCAATATATTTGAATCAGAGAGAACTTTAGAGTCATAATGTCCTGATACATATTTTATTATTGATGTTACAACAAGTTAAAAAGTCATTTGTCTAGAAATTCAATATATAGTACTCAAGTGTTTACGATAAGAATTTTACTTAATTTACCTATCGCATAGAAGAAAGAATTGAATAATATTTAACAAATTTCTTAATTTCTTATTAGTTTCTAAGCAAATATTAATATCAATAATGAGAAGACAATCTTACAGCGGATTAAGTATGTATGATTACTCTGTGATAACCAGTACAAATAATAACATACAGTATTTGTGAGAGACAATAGACAGCAATGACAAAAAAAAATGAAATCAAGAGACAATTTAATAAAAATATTTTTTATATGTAAATATAAAATCCTAGGATACAAAATAAGAGTGTGATTACTTACGAGAGAAACTGTACACCAGCTTAACCTACATTTTAGTGGGGAGATCCTTTATCAAAGTCTAGTAATAGAGTTTGTAATATATATATATGTATTTCGATAGTGTAATAAGTAGACGAAAATTATCAGAACTATGTAATGATATATTAGCGCAATACATTTCGAACAATCTGATCACACATATACTTGTTAAGAACATTTATATATAAAAATAAAAGATTAACTAAACTGGAAATAGGGGGGTAAGAGTAGACAAGGGTAATAATAATAATAAAAATAATGTGAAAAAATTTGAAACCTAATCACTCTGGATATTAAGCCAATATTATTATTAATGTCATCATTAGAAGTTTCAAATCATGACTAGCCGTTTAAAACTGCTCATTTGATGTCGATTCTTGAACGATTAGCTGTCGCTACACGTCAGTACTCCTCGATAAGATTTCAAAAACATTTAAGAAGACTCTTATTTACAATATTACTACATATATAGTACGAAGTAATGTCATAAATTTAATTGTATATTATTCTGGCAAAATATTTATTTTAAAAATGGATTTCAAAATCTATTTATCTATTTGACGTTGTTTTTTTATGCTTAGTGAACAGTGCGAAAATTATTTTTTGAAAAAAATTAAAGGGAACAATGAGAGAGAAAAAAAACGTTAGAATTTAACCTTATACATAGTCCGATTTATAAATGTCAAATTACTAGGTTGTTTTATAAAAAAAAATTCTATTCACAAATGCATGCATTGAATGTGACCCAGTTTGAGGACATCTGGTTGATGTATACCCATATATACATATGTTAATGTATAAATGTACATGTCTCACAACGTTCGGAACTTGGTATTGTTCCATCCTGTCTTTCTTTTTTGTACTTGAATGTATATGTATTTACTCGTTGTGTATGTATGTTCAATATACAGACAATAATCTTTTTTTTATATAATAAAATATAGACAATAGACATATAGAACATTATACATACATAATTACAGTTATAATGTGTATGTGTTTTAATCAGCTAATCAACAACACACGCCATATCTTTTTTTCATTGAGTTACCTTCATAAGGATGAATGATGATGTTGTTTCCTAGTAAGAACATTCAAAACTAATTTGAAGCATTTTTTTGTTTTAAAAACATGAGTGATTTATTTCTAGTACGACTAAAAGTATTAAAACAAAAAAGATTAGTGTAGATTTTTTTTCTTTAGAAAAAAACAAGACAAAAGATTTTTAAATTGAAGGTAGAGAAAAGTTGAAAAGAAAGAAGCAAAAAAAACAGAACAAAACAAAAAAAACAAACATCAAGAACTTCATGATATTCAATTGTGTATAAGTTAACCGACCTGAAAAATGTTTAGTATAGAAACAAGCAAAAAAAGAAACGGTTATTTAATGTATATTTGAATGTGTAAAACTTATTTTATGATTGGATTTTGTTCCGCTTAGTGAATGGATGTTAATTATCTTACGTTAGAAATTTCATGATTTATGTCTTAAAACTAGTTCATAAGTGAAACCATGGTGAAATGTATCTAGGATATATGTATATTAGTGATAAACTTACTTGGATAACATGTTACTAGGTTAATTGAAAAGCGTCAAAATCAACTTGTCCTAAATCTAGGTCATGTGGTACTAAAACGTTTTTTTTTAATTAGCCGAACAATAAATTTGAGTCTATAAACTAATGATACACAGACAGATACTTTTTGAATAGAATGAAGCTTACATTCAACTATTTTAATATGAAAGTCCCTGGAAAGAAAATGTTAAGTAGTATATCAAAGACTTTAGAAAAATTTGATAATTTATGCAACTGTCTATTGAAGGAAGTTCAACAGAAGATTTGTACAATTAGGGACAAATACCATAGGAAGACTTTATCACTGAGAGGCGATAGGTATTATGATTTTCAAAGGAAAAATCATATAGAATTGTGTATATGAAAGCTAAATTAGTGACTATAGTATTGTATTTGTGAATGACAGAGTTATGAATAAAGTGAGGAATATAAGCTATGTTTATTAGATATTTTCAGTCTTCAGAAAACTTTGAAATGGATAAGAAAAAGAACTATATATATTCAGTAGAAAATAAAACACAAAATCCATCCTACAAAGAAGACTTTCAGCTTCATAAAGAAAGACTGACAATCAGAGCCTAAAATATACAGGTGGTAAATCTGAGTAATTAAAAATAAAATAGGCGGAACATGATCAGCGGAACCATGGTGGAAAATGAATAATAAGTAAAATAAAAATCAGTCTATCTCTTCTGCATCCATTTCCAACTTACGTATTGTAGACAACAATGACGATTTACATCCCTGTGTTCAATTTAAGTATCATGTTAGAATCTACCCAATGACCATCCATCTGATTGACTGTAACAATGTTATTTTTATTTATTTGCTTTATGAATCACATTCTATAAATGCTCTAGCAAGATCGATTTCAGTCTATCAATGAAATTGATTAATTTCATCTTAACGATAGCCTAGGATTTTGTTTGTCATTGATTTTATAAATAAGAACTTACATACACATCCATTTCTCTAGTTAGTACAGTTTCAACATTTATTATTCCATCAAATTATTCATATTCACAAATTGGAAAAATAAAGATATTTAATATCTTAACATGATAGGAAATTCGATTCGTGTACATTGTTGTTTACTGACTTCATTTCTATTCAATAGTTATCGTTTATTTTCATGAAGAGTCTCACACTAAACTATCAACTGAAATGTTAAACATATTTAGTGTCAATCACTGAGATTTCTTATATATATATATCATTCTCATCTTTAGTGTATTCCCAAACGATCTATGGTCAACTATTGTGAAACTAGCTATTGAAAATCAAGAAAAATGTCCTATGAAAAATATCATAGTTTTCAAGGTGTGAAAATTTGACCAACAGGTCAAGATGACTCAACATTGGAATGGACTTCGTTTGATATCAAGTGATTGCAGAAAGTCGGTAAGAAGTTATAAACTAAATTTTTCGCTAGTTACCACTGGTCAATAAGTTGTATCTCAATTCTTTGGAGTATTGATGATCTCTTGCATAAACGTGTATCAACACCATTCAGCTTTATAATTAGGTATGGTGAAAATAAGCTGACGAGTGTAGACATGGTCGAAATCTAGAGATCATTGTTTTATACTTAGTTATCTAAAAATAGATAATCAGACTAGTGAAGACTAAACAAAAACCGGAAATTTCAGGTTCAGTAAATTATATGAAAAGACAATATTATGAAGAAACAACTTAAGTTCCGTTATTTTTGAAGTTAGAAGTCACTAGCTACTATATAAACGAAAATTTCTAGAAAGATCTGAAAATTGAATTTAGAAGAAATGCGAAATACTTTTGTAAGCCAGAATAAATTTTGTTTGGATTTATTTTGTACAACTAAACAATCTATACATCTATATTTTGTGTATCATTTTTTCATGGAATATTAGACTAGAATCCAGTATGTACGAGTGTCATCTTATTTGAAACTTGTCAGATGGAAGTGTCTGTATCTCAGAGTTGATATTCAATTATTACAATACGAAGGTGCTCAATATGAAAGGCGGGTATATAGTTATATACATATATACCGTAGTGACATGTAAATTAAACAATTTTTTAATAAAGCACTATCATTTTTTCCATGTGACATTCTATTGAGTGACCAAATTTATATTCAATATTTGTTGTATACACTTTAAATAAGCTTCATTAATTAATTGATTGGCATTCAATTTACTTTGGTGTTTAAATAAATACTAACTGCGTCGTTCACTTTTCTGCTTTATTAGCTACGGCTTGTGATTGAATATTATAATAGAGTTGTAATATCCTTTTAGGCTACTCTACATTGCATGAAAGTATAGGTGTCGTTTTACACCGTCGAAGCCAAACGCGCAGGAAAATATTTATTCATTGTGTGAACTCCATTTGTGGCGGTTATATAAGAGGAACTTCTAAGAAGCATCCATTACATAACCGTTTCCATTATATATATATATATATATTACTTGATATAAAGTGACTATGGAGTTCAAGAATTTCCCAGGAATCTACCATTTTTAGTGTTTATGAAATGACAAACATCATTAATACATAAAAATTTCATGTATGAATTATACGTGAATATGTGTTTATATAACTAGTTGAGCTCTGATTTTAATAGTTGTGTACTCTTAAAGTTTCTAAGAAAGAAACTAGAATATAACAACTACCAGAGATTTTGCAAATGATGTTAGTCAACGGTAAGAACTATCTTTCATAACTGACTGATCACTGACTAGTGTTCAGTCCCATTTGTCTAGTCAGCTGAGTCGCTGGAGCTAGATCAGTACTAAGAGACTAGTCAAGCAAGACATTAGTCGTTATTCAGTGATCAATCAATTGTAAATATTACAGTCAGTCCGAATATCTCAGTGGTTAAGTTTCAGAATATAAAGCGAGTAAAACAAATTCGAATCTCTCAGGGAGCACTAGTTCCATAAAGATTACAGGTGGACTCTGCTAACGAGTGCCGAATAGAACGAAACCTATGTCCAGGATGTTCACATTCAGCCACCTATTATTTTTTATAGTTTTCAAGTTCATGTAGAAATGAGACCACTGAAAAATAAAACTAATGTCTGGACATTCCATTAATACAAACTTTTTAATTTTCATATTACGAAAAAGTTAGACCTTAAGATCGGATACAAATGATTGGATCACTTGATGGAATCAACTGGTGAACTATTGTAGTATCAGTTTATATGTTAAGCCCATATACTTTATTCTAGCTACTGGCCAAGCCAATTCACTTATACATTGAGTCATATTTTGGTTTGTGTTCGTTCGGCGAGGCCTCCAATTCTGTAGTTTCGCGATTCGTTAATCGTTAGTTTCGATAATTGATATAATTCTAATCTTAACGGCGCGTAAAATCAGAAGGCAAAAGGAAGCGGCAACTACATTTTTATTGATAAATGGTGCAGATCAGAAAGCTGTGGGCACATGAGCAAGTGTAAGCGAGCGAAGCAAAGATGATGCATAGTGGAGATGGCTGGGAAGCCAACTCGATATGAACAAGCATTACTCAATATCTATCATCAGACAAAAATGAATGACAGACATATGATGAATAGGATACGAAAAGCACACATATACACTCATATAAAAGTATAGTCAAGGTCAATAAGCGAATAATTAACAAGACCAAAATATGACTCAATGTATAAGTGAATTGGCTTGGCCAGTAGCTAGAATAAAGTATATGGGCTTAACATATAAACTGATACTACACTATGAATATAATTCAGTAAAGTTGGTAATTTTTTAAGAATCATAGTACACGGTGGTCCTACATGAAAGAAAATATATAATCACTGTTTTTTATTTTTCATGTCTTAAAATTGGAAGCACCACGATACTAGCGTGTGTGAATTCTAATTATCGAAAGAGTTATCTATCTTTTTAACACGACAGGGTTAAATTTGATCTAACTTCACAGAAAAGCTGAATCACTACAATTTAATGTTCAACTCTTCTTCAACACACTTCACGAACGGTTTCATCCCGTCAGATGCAATACTCACTTTGTATTTGAGATAATGAATTTATGCATATTGATGATCACAACCAATATTTACTGGAAAAATCAAAATCTACAACTCACGTATCATTGTGCAATTTGATAAGTCCAAAAACAATTAACGGTCGGATATGGATACAAAATGATCAAGATTTGACTATCAAGTAATGAAGACATTTACTAGGTTCTAGGGAATAAAACCTTATTCACAATCATAGTAACTGGTAGTTTTTTCAGATAATCGATGTAAAAATTATAATTTGTTCACCAAGTCAACAATGCAAAAACATATATTTTTACAAATTTCTTACCTACTTATGAGTAGTTAGAATTTTTATAAAAAGTGTTCATGGCCAACTTTTATGATATGACAATTTAGAGTTGAAAATTTTCTGTTTTGACGTATCTACTTTTATTCATGAGGTGTAGACACCAAAATAATTTGCTATAAAGTGACTCTGATAAGAAATCTGTGATCTATTTAAAGGATAGTTACTCAGTCACAAAAAATTTATTCAATTAAACAACTAAACATACATACATATACGCCTGTTATCATTCGAAGAAGAATATATGCCGCCTGCGAGCATTCTCTACCCAACTCTGTCCTAGACAGTCCTTTACAGTTTCTAATCATCCCTTTTATATCTGCCTCCAATTCCCGAAATGGCATGTTCTTCACCCTTCCTCTTTTCCGTTTTCTATTACATTAATGTGTTGCCGATTGTTTCCTGCCAGTGAATGTTGAGTATTTTGCGTAGACAACTGTTTAAAAATACTTGTACATTGTTAATTATGGTTGTAGTAGTTCTCCAATTTTCAGCCCCATACAGTAGGACTGTCTTGACGTTCGCATTGAATATTCTCATTTTGATATTGGTTGATAGTTGTTTTGAGGTCTTCAACTGCAGTAATGGTGTCCCTGCTTTGTCAATCATCGCCTTTACATATGCATCAGATCCTCCTTGTTTATCAACGATGCTTCCCAGGTACGTGAACGTTTCTACCTCTTCCAGGATTTCGCCATCAAGTGTGATTGGGTTGGTGTTCTCCGTATTGCATTTGAGAATCTTGCTTATTCCTTTGTGTATATTGAGGCCTATTGATGCAGAGGCTGCTGCTATATATGCTGTCTTCGTCTGCATGAGTTTGTATGTATGAGATAGAAGGGCCAGGTCATCTGCGAAGTCCGAATCTCCTAATTGATTCCGAGATGTCCACTGTATTCGGTGCTTCCCCTCAGATGTCAACGTTTTCATAATCCAGTGAATCACCAGAAGAAAGAGGAAGGAGTAGAGTAGACAGCCTTGTTTGACTCCGGTCCTTACTAGAAATGCATCTATCAGATGGCCTTCATGCACCACTTTGCACTGCAGTCCTTTGTATTAGTTCTGGATAATGTTGACAATCTTCTGAGGAACTTCATAGTGTCAAAGTTTCCATAATTTTTTCCTGTCCAAACTGTCGAACACCTTCTCATAGTCAATGAAGTTGATGTATGGTGGCATGTTCCACTAAACTAATTGTTCCACGATGACCTGTAGTGTCGCAATTTGGTCTGTTCACGACCGATCCTTACGGAGTCCAGCCTGTTGATCTCGAAGTTGGGCGTCTACTTCGTCTTTCATCCGGTTCAGCAACACTCTAGTGAAACCTTTTCCTGGTACTGACAACAATGTGACGCCTCTGTAATTCTCACATTTGCTCAGATCTCCTTTCTTTGGTATCTTGATGAGGTACTTGATACAGTCCGTTGGCACTTGTTCTTCCCAAAACTTTTTGAATAAAAGGTGAAGCATGTTTGCGGTGAATACTGTTTGATTTCAGTGCTTCGGCTGGTATATTGTCACTTCCTACTGCTTTCTCACATTTCACTTGTCTGGTGGCCACCTTGATTTCTTCTATCGTTGGTTGTATGACAGCTATAGGAAGGTCTGTGTCTGCAGCTCATACGTCCGGGGAATTCAATGGACCTAATCCATTCTAAAGTCCCTCAGTATTCAACTCATCTGTTCAAGAGTCACAGTGATTGGCTTGCCTTGAATTGTCTCTCCGGTTTGCTATATCTTCATGCCAGTTTCTTCGTTGTATCATATTCCCTTCTCTTGCAGCTTTTTTCACTGTCGTTGCTAAGTTTTACACGTATTTCTGCTTTAATGCTCTTTTTCACTTGGTAAAACAACTATATGCAATTATAATTACTGAACATTTGAAATTTACTTAATGACCTCATTTTGGAACATGGGACAGTATTGATTGTTGATCATAGATAATTTACGTCATCAGATAAAGCCACCTGGTAGCAACTTATAGGACTGATTGTTATGAGATATTAATCACCTTTAGTTGAGAAATTTATATAATGTACTTAACAAGTATTTCTGTATTCAGCAGTACGAAGTACATATGTTTCATTACCGGATCTTCTGCTGAAATACATATCATGGTGTTTCTGATGTGTGATAATTTCAAGTCATCAAAATGTAGTGTTACGGTTGTTATTTTCTATATTCACTAATGATGAATCTGCTTATGGTAATAGCATTCAAAACTCAAAATTTTCCAACTGCTTGCTCATTTTTAATATATTGAACGGTCATATGTAAGTAACATAAATGCGGGGGTAGCATGAGATGAATTCTATGAATTTTTTGAATAAATAACTGCCAGTATTAACGATCGCTATTCGCGTGAATTTCACTTATATGTCAAACATACGAAGTCTACAGTTCGAACTTCTATTCCTAATTAGTATTAGTACTGCTTTTGGTCACAACAGTCCTTAAACGACCTTTTTTCTTAATGAAACAACGGGCCACATGAGTGTTTTTAGACAATTTGAGTCATTTATGGAGTAGGCGAGATGTCCGTCTAGCAACAAAAAGACGAATTTACTGTGCAACAGTTCGGTCCGTCCTACTTTATGGCAGCGAAACATGGCCGGTAAGAGTAGAGGATATTCTTAGGCTATGAGTATTCGATCATAGGTGTCCTCGAAGCATTGCTCATATATCCTGGGACCACCGGGTAAGTATTGTAGTTGTTAGGAAACGGGTACTAGGTAAGGATGGCAAACCGATTGATGAAGTAGTGAAACTTCATCAGTTGAGATGGCTGGGACACGTGTTACGTATGCCCAACTACCGACTGCTCCGACGTGCAATGTTTCATGTTGTAGGAGTAGGTTGGAAGAAAGCTAGGGGTGGCCAGACCAAAATGTGGCACGAATCCATGAAGTCACTGACAATGGACTGAGCCATGTTGGTAGGTGTAGACTATCTGGTTGGGATTCACGAGATAATAGCAGTCGATGGTTAGAGACCTTGAATGACATGGCTCAAAATCGTTTGCAATGGTGAAGGTGCATCCACTCTTTGTGTCCTCCCAAATTCTAATCTTCTGAATTCTTCATGTCACTTTCTTTTTCTCTTTCCAAATTTACTTCACTGGATTATACTCCTTGAATAACATCTTCAAACCCTAATCTCTCGGATTACTGCTTATACTCTTACTACTTCTACCACTATGGGATTTGAATCGACAACTGCATCTCTGTGTCAATATGGTATGGCAACTCGAACTGATTTACGTACGTACGAAATTCTACGTTGTGACTGACTGATGAGACAACAAAATCGGTTAGATGATTGATCACTATACCTAAGAAGAAACACAATTATGCTTCAACCTTCTTCTATTAAAACAATGATAAACGAGAAGAGGAAATAATAACTGAAAAAATTATTGTTTTCTATTTCATTTATTATTTTTCTCATACAAATGAACTAGCTATTGACAAAATTTTCGTTATATCTCCTGATAAACTTCTTAATCGCGCTGGTATTGGGACAAGTATTCGTGTACCTAGTGGATTGCCATCATTATCAACAAGCACAATATTGTTTGAGTCAAAACGTGGCCAACCATTAACAGATGGTAGCCGTGCACCAACAATCCAACCTCTTTTCATTTCTCCATTAACAGCAACCAATACTTTATCACCTGAAAATGTAGATTGGGAAAATTTAAGAGAATATAACTGAACATCGTTCGTATATGGATGCGCTACAGTCACTGTGTGCATTATATATGTATGTATGTAACTGTGAGGTATAAATAATGTAGATGTTAACCTAGAAAAAATATGAACTCAATGATTGATCATCTAATGGTTTGTCATAAAGAAGTGATAACTAAATTTAATAAGATGAATTGATTTAGTTACTTGCAGAATGATTTTTGAAAGCTTCAGTTACATATGAAATATAGGCACCGGTGAGAACGATGAAAGTTTTACAATTTAAATCATTCAAGAGTTTAGAGTATGGTCAGACGATTGAAAGTATCAATAGAGATTTGAGTTACCAGTCTTACTTTATCATTTAAAAGAGGATATTCCATTAGCAAATATATAATCATGAAATCGATTACATTGATCAAGTGTTTGCATAATATTACAATGATTTTGTTCCCAAGACGAAGAAATTTCCGATTATTGATTATCAAATTATAAATAAAAAGTTACAGTGCTTTTTACATGCAACATGGTTTAAGAAATTAGTGTATCAATGTCTGTGCAAACGAAAAGCTGTCGAAATTATGCGGTAACGAATGAAAAAATTTTTTATTCTTAGAATAGGAAACAAAGTATTGATATATACATTAATTGTAAAGTAAAAGTCATTTCGCATCATCAAATAATTTCTGAGATAATAATCATTATGCGGAATTTAACTAATTTCTTGGCTGAAGTTACAAGCAGAGATGGATAGTAGCTAGCAGTGGAATCCAGGACGCACGTTTCGTTCTCTTTGGGACTCGTCAGCTGGATATACCCGCATCTCAGAGTTGATGTACACTCTGAACTCAGAAGCTAAGTGGGTAACGCGAAGGCGTCTGAAGCGAAAGAAGCACAAGTCAGATGAAATGCGCGTCCTGGATTCCATTGCTAGCTACCAACCATCTC